CCTTTCCGCACGGGGGTCCGGCGGATTGGAAACGCCGGACCTCCGACACCCATGCACGGTCGGGGGTCCGGCGTTCCCAAACCGCCCTTCCCCCTCCACCCTTTCCGTACGGGGGTCCGGTGGATTGGAAACGCCGGACCTCCGACACCCGTGCTCGGTCGGGGGTCGGGCGTTCCCGAAGCGCCCTGCCCCCGCCATCCTTCCTAGGTGGGGAGGGGGGGGGCATCGGAATGGAAACCCTCGACGTCCTGCCTCGAAAGGATGGCGACGGTCCGGCGGATTGGGAACGCCGGACCCCTCGACCATGCATGGTTGTCTGGTATGCAGCGTTCCCGAAAAGATGGCGGGCGTATGGCGGGTCACGTGCCTTCTTGAATATCTCGGACCACGTGCAAGTGTTTCTGTGTGGTGCTCATTGCTGTTCTCGTGCCCGTCTTTGTTTTGCATTTGCCACCGACAGGTAAATCTGGTGCGTCGACCTCTGCTCAAAATAAACGGTACGGCAGGTCTAAGACTTACAACAACAAACCGTGGGCTCTTGACTGGGTAGGCGGTTTGCATAAACCGGGGTGTGGGGCTGTTATCTTCTTGAGCGATGACAATGTCGCCACTTGGTACTATTGTGGGGGTGTGGAGAAATTCGAGGCGGGCAGGAAGACCTACGAAGGGAGGACGTTTAGGACCTTCTTCCTCACGTTCGTCTTCGACAGCGCTGGGACGGACTGGGTCAAGGAAGACAAGAAGGTCTCCCTTGACCTGCGTCTCTTCCAAGGATACGACGTCAAGGCTTTCTCCATGAAAGCGTTTGACGTGCGTGGGGACGGAACTGAATTCCGAATGCTTTCTCCGGAAGAATTTCTCAGCAAAACAAATGCCAACCGCGTCACTGGCTGCCTTCCTGTTGTCGACAGTTCTTTCCGGATGAGCAAACCTTTGGTCCAATTCAACAGTCCGATGGACCTGCTGCCAGGTGTGGTTAAGCGGTACAGGGAAGACTTCTTGAAGCTACCGCCTGATCAGCAAACGGACTGTGTTTTTTTGCCCTTCGAGGCGGGTTCCAAGAGCAGGCGACAAATGCCGTTTGCGACGACATGGAATGTTGGCCGTGAGAATTCCCAGGGCAGTGCAATTGCCCTGGACGAGGACAACGACGAGGACGAGGAAGGAGGAAGTGCTGGCCCGCATGACGACGGCGGTAATGAAGCAAATGTGGAAGTTGGGGATGACAACATGGAGGACTAGGGCGGGCTTGCTGACGAGGACGCCGACACGCCAATGCATGGTCATGACATCTCCCCCGCCGGCGCTGTGGGAGCCGCTATTGGTCAGCCCTCGACGTCCCGTGGAATTTCGCTATCACAAAGCGGGAGTAAGGGTGGGCACGACTCACATGCAATGCAAGGACCGAAGGCGAGGAAAAGAACAAGGGAGACTTCTCCGTCTGCTTCTACTCATAAGAGGCAAGCCAGGACTGACGCTGTTAATGAGGCTCGTGGAGCTTTGACAGCGTCCCAGGAGGCGCGGCCTCCTCGGAAGAACAGTCAAGGGGGGCGATCTGGGGGTCAAGGCGGTGGCCGTGGGGGCGGTGGCCGTGGAGGGGCGCGGAAAGGCTCCTAGAGGGTGAGACCACAAGAGCTGTGGGACTCGGGGGATGAGGGCGAGGGAGTGGATCCTCGCATGCCCGAAGATGCTGATGAGCCAGTTCAGCGCGTCGCGCCCATCGACACTACTCGTTGTTTCTTCCTCGAATACGACGACCAAGGCTTTGCTACGCAAGACGTCCATGCTCTTCACGTGGACGTCATGAGAATCAAACGCATTCCCCGCGGAAGGATTCTTTTCAACCACCGCTCGTTGTCTGAAAACATTGTGCGAGGCATCGAGAATGCCATCGAAAGCTCCATCAGCACGGACCCGGGGGCGTGGGATAGGCCCGAGCTCGTGCTTGCGCCAATTGACCGCAATGACATTGTCGGCGGCCAGGGAAGACGGATCACGCCGACCGAATTCTTGGAAAGGGACCCGGCAGAGTTCGACTGGTACGCTGTCTGTGGTCAGCATACCGTTGAGGCCATGAAGAGATTGGTCAGAAAGGGCTCCCCAGCAGTTAAAGTTTATGGCCTCAACGCGTACTCTAAGGTGCGGGTCGTCTATTTCGGAGATGATCAAACACGAGGGTATTTCAATGTCTCCTGCTTCGACAACACACGCGAAAATCGCTCCATGATGTTGTCATTCGAGGATGCTGTCCGTGACATCAAGCAATGGTGGATAGACAACAATAGAATCGAGGCCCCAAAAGCCAAGATCAGCGAGAAGGATGAGGTGGCCGTTGCACATCAGAAGACGGGGCAGAACTTCTTGAGGGCCTGCATGGGGAAGGCATGCGACAAGGCATTTGTAAAGCAAGCTCTCGAGAATGAGTACAGTAAGGATTGGAGTAATAGACTCCGGGGCTACATGAACCTCGCCACATCCAGTTTCAAATGGAACTAGTATTAGTCTTCGTAGGCACTACGACCACCTGATTTTCTTTTATGTATATATATTTTTTTCCTCAATATTACGTTCGACCTAAGATGTTTAGGATACTTGCCATTTTTGAAGTGGATGTGTGTATGCGGATGTATTCGGACTTGGCTCTCTCTCTCTCTCTCTCTCTCTCTCTCTCTCTCTCTCTCTCTCTCTCTCTCTCTCTCTCTCTCTCTCTCTCTCCGACTTGAATGTGTGTATGCGGACGTATGCAATGAGGGTGGCCAAGGTGAGAGGAATAAATGATTGATTGTATACTTGAATGTGGTAAATGCAAGTAAAAGATTAGAGAAACATTGAAAACATGCGTTGCATGCATTAGCTCCCACAAAGCATTTGGCCATGCACTCACCATCCTTTCCCCATCCGCCCGCGTGAATGTYGTATTCCTCATGTTTGTGGTGTGCAGTGCAAATGACAACAATTGATACAAGATTGTGCAAAAGAGGATGGACAATGCATCTCGCAACTTCGTCTTTATCAAAGAGGGAGACGRCAGCCTTGACGMGTATCATCCGCGAAYACRGRAAGAGGTATCCCGTAGCCACCACACASGACGTATACATGAACGAGGTGTTGCAACTCACTCGCAAYGATTTCCTTTTACTCGWTGTAGAACGTCAGTGGTTAAACGACAATGTCATCAACTTTTACCTCAATCTCATAGCATTGGACAACTGGTGTAGAATACAACACATAGAATGCGACGCGGAGAATAAGATAGTTATTAGAGAAGGAAAGGGTTGCATTCCTAGAGTTTCGGTGCTGAGCTCATTTTTGTTCATCAAACTTTTCGACAATGAAATGAGATATAGAGGTCGAGAGGTAGAGCGCTGGTGTCAGGACGTTATCATAAGTGACATGGACTTGATTATTGCTCCTTTCCATATCGAACACAAGAACCACTGGACCCTTGTCGTGGCTGACTTCAGGAGGAGGAAATTCGAATTTTACGACTCCCTCGACCCCGACATGGAGTTGGCGAGAAAGGTGACCGGCGGGTTTGCAAAGTTTATATTCGAAAGATCGAAATCACAAGGCAAAGAGGTGGACACGAAACCATTCAATCACATATGAAATGTAGAGGGTATTCCGAAGCAACACGACACGAACGGGTCTTTCTGCTAACGTACGCATCACTGTTGGCACGGAGCCAACTTCCACCTTTCTTTTTCACTGCTGATGATATACCCGCGATACGTCGTCGAATGGCTTTGGACACAAAGGCTCGTGAGTAGTGTGTATATGATAATCCGTAATTTGATTTGAAGGGGGGCCGGATGCCACAAGATGGTTTGTGACAAAAACAATGTATATAAGGTGTCAAATATTACTCGATACGCTGTGCCACTTGACCCTTGCAATTTACCACATATCCCTTACACCTCACCCCTTACACCTTACCCCGTTCACCTCACACCTTGCCCCTTACACCTTACCCCTTACACCTTACCCCTCACCCCTTACCCCTTACACCTTACACCTTACACCTTACCCCGTACCCCATACACCAAACATCTCTTTGTAATGGTTTTTGCACCTAAATCAGCTCAAAAATGACAATTTCAATTTCGTTCAAAAAATATAAAATGTCCGTTTTGACGAAATCGTTGTTGAGAGAGAGAAAGAGAGACAGAGAGAGCGAGAAAGAAAGGGGGGGAGAGAGAGAGAGAGAGAGA